GCACGTCAGGGACGCCTTGCCTATAACATGCGCCCCTTTTCCGGGCGCATGTATAGGTGGTTCTCGACTTAAAAACAGTTCATTTAGTGACCGTTCGAAGTTGCAACGGTACTGAAAAAAGTGACTGATAGTCTTTTTTTAGACTTATGACCTTTGAAGCCATCCCCATGGCCATGTGATCAAAATTCAGATAACCAGTTCATACCAGAGGTGGGTTGCTGTCGGTTGGGCGGACTCAGGCGAACTGGTAGCGGCAGCGGGAGGCTCCACCCACCCGATTCCCGCCCGCACGGGAGTGCTCTCCAACCAGTAGTAAAAAAATAGCAAATCACCTCTGGTTCATACTTATGACAGTTGCTGGGTCCCAAGCTCATGTGATCCCCTTTTGCAACCTTCTGATAAGCAAAGTCAATGGGGAAGCCAGATTCACTGAACAACCAGGATACTCGCTTACCAGCAGTGATTCATTTAACAACTGTGGCAAGGAATGTTGTAAAATGAGACAAAACTCACTTAACAAATGTCTCGCTTAACAACAAAGGTTGGGTTCAATCGTGGTCGTAACTCAAGGACTACCTATACACCAAATCCCTGATCAGCAATTGTTCTTCCTGGAATCTCTAGCCTTTGCCCCACACCAGAATGGAAGTTGTGCGTCCAGGAAATGTCCTTACTGATCATCACCACGTTATCCCCACAAAAAGTGGCGTTATACCGATGCATGCAGCATCCCTAAAGTCCATTCCATATGCCAGATCGTGCCTGGGCGCGTCTTCATGTAGGAACCCCTAGACCAGTGGCGGGTTCCTACCGGTTCGGACCAGTTCAGCTGAACCGGTAGTGGTTTGGCGGCCTGGGTCACTGGAACCAGCAGCGACCCAGGTCTGCCATGCCGTGGAACCAGTTCTCCGGGTGGCGCCATAGGCGTTTTTCGGTTCTCATATCAAGCGCACAGCGCGTCCACAAGCAAACCAGCAGTAGCGACAGCCGGAACCCACCCCTGCCCTAGACCAGTGTTTTTCAACCTTGGCAACTTGAAGATGTCTGGACTTCAACTCCCAGAATTCCCCAGCCAGCATTCGCTGGCTGGGGAATTCTGGGAGTTGAAGTCCAGACATCTTCAAGTTGCCAAGGTTGAGAAACACTGGTCTAAGGAACAAACGCCTTTCAAAGATTAGAATGACTCAGGCGTGTTAGCCCCTCATAAGACCCTGAAAACCTAGCTATTTTCTCAAGCCTTGGATGGTGAATGTGTTAAGAGCCATTGAATAGATAGATGGATAGCTAGATC